TCAGCAATCCCATTTTGCTGTGGAGAGTCCGGAAGCGTGAAGGTCTTGCGGATGCCTCGTGCACGACAGTAGGCTCGCAAAAGGCCAGAGGAGAACTCTCCGCCTCTGTCAGAGTGCAGACGCAGAACAGGAAAGTCCGAGCCGAAACTCTTCCTGAGCTGGAGACGAGCTGCGCAGATCCAGTCGATCAACACCTCAGTGACACCACCCTTGCCGCGCAAGGGGAAGACTGTGGTGTAACGCGAGTAGTCGTCAACCACCAGCAGGAAGTAGCGCTCGTGACCCTGTCCACGGACGCGGGCTGGGCCCCACACGTCCATGTGAAGCGTCTGCAGCGGGGCCTCTGTCGGAGGAAACTGGGAGGAGTGAGGGGCAGCACGCTGCCGCCCCTCGACACAGGGGACGCAGGTAGGGGCAGGCCCCGGAGGAAGGGGAGGGAGGGACCGGGGAAGACCAAAGACAAGGACACGGTAGGCCATGCCTCGGAGACGAAGCAGGGAGGGGTGACCAAGGCGGTGGTGCCAGAGGAGAGTCTCGTGAGACAGGAGGCGACACGAGCAGGGGGCAGACTCAGGACCAGACCTGGACGCTGTAGCAAACACCTGACCCGACGCAGCTGCATGACCAGACGCAGTGACTGGAGGAGACTCAGTGGTCAGTGTGTACAGGCTCGACCCCGGCCGATGTGTAAACGTGGCCAAGAGTAGGCCCGTCCGTGCGTCCGTGCAGTGGGTCACTCGCTGGCTCGCAGGAGTGAACTGGTGAACCCCCGCATCGTGTAGGTCAGCACCACTCACCAAGTTCGTAGAGAACGAGGGGAGGTAAAGACCAGACAGGGTGCCAGAGGGGGCCGCCGGACACGGGAGGACAGTGGAGAAGTGAGCAAGGACAGGACCTTCAGAGGTGTCTGCCAGAGTGACTGCAACTGGCCGACCAAGCGGCGTGAGTGTGGTGCGGTCTCGAAAGAAGGAGCGAGAAGCCCCCGAGTCAAGGGTGAAGGTGTGGGAGGCCGAAGCCGACGCGGTACCTGAGAGAGCAGACTCACCAGCACCTGAGGAAGCAGACGCACTGGCACCTAGAGCAGCAGCCTCGCTAGCACCTAGAGCAGCAACCTCACCAGTACCTAGAGCAGCAGTCCCAATGCCCGGGTCGGGCGGAAAACACCGGTAACAGCCCCCCTCATCACTAATAGTTACAGCATACATGGCAGCAAGAATAGCATCAAAGTCAAGGTCAAAGATAGCTACTCCCGCCCTAGACAGCTCGCCCCAGCGAGGGATCTTAGTGGCCTCAGGGAACTGGTGACGCCAAGCGTCCGTCAGGCGGCCAAAGCATCGCTGGGTGGAGTGCGCACCCCCGCACGGCTCACCCGCGCGGTCGCCGGTGCGTAGGACGTAGGTGCACGGACCAGTACCCCCACCCCGCTGGCGTGCAGCGTACCACTCACGGAGCTGCTGAGGGGGGGGGATCTCACGAGTGCTCTGCTGCTGCTGCTGCTGCTGCTGCTGCTGCTGGCGCGGACCACCACTGGAGCCGACCCTCTGCGCAGCGCCACCCCGACCAGCTCCACCTCCTCCGCCGCCGCCTCCTCCACCGCCGCCACCTCCGCCACCTCCACTCCCACTGCCACCGCCGCCGCCGCCTCCGCCTCCACTGCCGCCACCGACGCCCCCACCCCCGCCACCACCCCCACCGCCACCCCCACCCCCTCCGCCGCCTCCACCGCCACCTCCACCGCCCCCGCTAGCTCCTCCAGCGCCCCTGCCCCCTTTGCCCTTCCCAGTGCGGCGTCTCCCGCTAGGGGCAGACGCCGCACCGACCGACTGAAGACCAACGAGGTCGGCCGCAGCAGCAGAGGCAATAGAGGGCAAGAGAGGAGAGGGGGAGCACCCCTCAAAGACAGGGGCACGAGGGTCACCACGAGAGGCTCCTACAGCGACTATGCTCTTCTCTGCTGCTAGGAGGCGCTCCTCGAGGAGGTCAACGGTGAGAGTGGTGGGGCAAACTGAGAGAAAGTGGTCCCTGACCGGGCGAAGGGTGTCAGGGAGCCGGGTGACTATGTAGTAGAGGGTGATGTACATAGGGGGGGGGTTCTTGGCGCAGAACTCAGCGGGAAGGGCAGCGCGGTAACGAATGTCACTAGTGCGAAGGTGCGTAATGAGGTCAGCGACTGTGGGAAAAGCGGCGAGGTCAGGGAAGAGGTACGGCAGGATGAGGCGGCTAAGTGCAGCAGTGGCAGGGGAAGAGTAGCGTGCAACTACAGCGTCGTACAAGGTCCTAGCACTCTTGTACTGACTAAAATGTGCACGCTCAGCGGTGGGCAAGTGGCGGCGCATAGCAAGACGTGCAGCAGCATCGCGTGTGGCCCACTGTGAGCGAACAGTGGCGTCTGCATCAGCAGCAGGGGCAGGAGAGGCACCAGAAGTGAGGTGAAAGAGGGAGAGACCGTCTGCCCTATCGCACTGTAGGTAAAGCTGCAGGTCATCTACCCAGACGTCAAAGTCAATGGCCCGACCCTCAGCGTCAAAAGCGAGGACACTGGGGGTAGCCATGACAGCAGTAGACTAGAAGCGCGAGCAACAGGCTAAGGGCAGCGCAGTAGTAGAGGTGCTGCTCTTACCGGGCAGGCGAGAAGGACCGAGTGTAGCGGACAGGGCGGCTCGGACGGCTCGGCGGCTCGGCAGCAACAGCAGCTCGGCGGCTCGGCGACTCGGCGGCTCGGGCGGCTCGGGCGGCTCAGCGGCTCGGGTGGCTCGGCGGGAACGGCGGCTCTGCAGCTCGGGCGGCTCGGCAGCTCGGGCGGCTCGGCGGCTCGGGCGGCGTAGCTGCTGCAGGTACAGTGGCGGCTGCTGCTGCAGGGACGGCGGTGGTCACCGCTGCAGGAGGCGGCGACGACGAGCCGCTGTAGGAGGCGGCGACGGCGGCCGCTACTTCAGGGACGGCGCCGGCGGCCGCTGCTGCAGGGACGGCGGTGGCGGCTGCTGCTGCAGGGACGGCGGCGGCCGCTGCTGGAGGCGGCGACGGCGGGCCGCGAAGGGGCCGTAGGGGGGGGGCCGCGAGAGCGGCGCGAGGGGCCGTAATGGGCCGCGCGAGGGGCCGTAAGGGGGGCCGGGAGGGCAGCGCGAGGGGCCGACAGGCGGTGCAAGGGGCCGCAAGGGCGGCGCACGGGGGGCCGACGGGCGGCGCTAGGGGCCGCAAGGGCGGCGCGCGGAGCCGACGGGCGGCGCGAGGGGCCGCTAGGGCGGCGCGCGGGGTCGACTAGCGGCGCGAGGGGCCAACGGGCGGCGCGAGGGGCCGCAAGGGGGGTGCGCGGGGCCGTAAGGGCGGCTCAAGGGGCCGTGAGAGGGGCCGCTAAGGGCGGCGCGACGGTAGGGAGGGCACGCGGGGCGCGACTCGGGCTGGAGCGAAGCGCTCTCCGGGCAGGAAAAAAAAAATTCGAGGTGGGCCCTAGGAAGCGTTCCCACTAGGGAACCTGCTCTGAAACCATGAGAAGAAACGAGGAATGAAATGACTAAGGGAAAGTTGGGTACAAGTACAAACCCTAGAAAGTTGTACCCCATATGTGCTACCCCACTATAGCCTACAGCAGCTAAGTCATATAAATCTGACATAAGGCGACGCGAGGAGCCTCGACAGCGTTGAAATCGGCCGAACGTGCGAACTCCGAAAATCGGGTTGTACGCGAAGCAGTCAACCCCGATAAGGAATTCGGAAAAATTCCTAACACCGGTACATATATGGTCGAACGAATACGCCCTGGCACACGGAGCGTGTGACCCATCTTTCGGAAACCGCGCCCTCTCTCCGACTGGTCATGCTCACAGATCCATTTCTAAGGCTCTCCAGTCCATTAGTTCGAATCAAGAGTCACGAGAGTGTGATTGGTCAGTTGGTGAGCTTGCCTCAGTGTTGTCCCCGATTCTTAGAACCGAGGAAGCTCCTAATAGGGCTAACAAGAGCCGCGAGTCGTGAGGCGGCTCCGCTGTCCTTTTTAGGACTAGTTGGGATAACTTGCTCACTAATCCTGTGCGACACGTGCCTGTCTGGCACCTTAATCACTCCCAATTGTACGGCTTTTCGCGATTCGCATACGTTACTTAGTCCTGGGTACATGGTAGAATAATTACGTCGGGAACATAGTAAGCATTTCTCCGTACTCGTCCTGCATTGCGACGATCTCTCGCTCTCGTCCAATTTCGGTCCAGATTTTTCGGTCATGGAGACGCCGGCGGTGTCGCGGCATCAGAAGCTCGTAACGGACGTTCTTTCGTGGGTGTTCAATGTCGTTACATCTGTCGGTATCATCGTGGTCAACAAGTACCTGATGACACATTACAATTTCCAGTTCGGTGCGACCTCTAACCATGTTTTATTATCATCTCCTTGGAGGGAACAAGTCGCTTGTAACGCGTAAATGCAGTTGTACGTACCGATCGTTCTAGCTGCGCGTTTCCAGACGTCTCAAAACGTTAGTCTCGACTCGCATGCGTGCGGTTGTATAGTACCGAACTTTCTAGCTTCTCGCTTCGTCACGACTACGCAGTGCTTTTGCTTCGTTATGCTAACTCGATCAAGGAATTTGATACTAATCAAATTCCAGTTTTTGTCTCGTGTCCATCTTCATCTTCGAATACAACAATCTCTATCACTCCCTTGCATTCCACATCGACACTGCTTATTATGTTTCTGACTTTCCCAAGCTTGTATTGAGACTTCTCAAAACACGTTCGCATTCTTCCCTTGAAGCATGGCCTCAGCTTCCCTCAGTTTTCGATCTCAACTACCGCTATCAAGTCGCCTCCCGCAGATCTGTACACTTGCACCTGTTTCGCCCCCATTTTCCTGCGCATGGTCACCTGCTAATGTAGACTCACTTGTGATCTTTTTAAAATAATCCCAAATTTTCACTCCCCTGTTAAATCTACGTTTTCATTTCCCCTCCATTTCTTTCTTCCGCAGCCGCCACGCTCACCGGCCTCCACTTCATCATGACGTCGCTGATGACGTCAGCGTTGCGTCTGAGCGGGTACCTGGAACCTTCGCAGCTGCCCCTGATGGAGCAGGTCAAGTTCGCGCTGACTGCCAACGTGTCCATTGTGGGAATGAACGTCAGCCTGATGTGGAACAGCGTGGGATTCTATCAGGTGTGTGTGCTTGTATCGAGTTTGCTTTGATTGACCATGATTCTGAAACGGGCTCAGTGCGGTAACTGTTAGTGTGTTTATTTTGGAGATGAACGTCAGGCTGGTGTGGAACAACGTCGGAATCTACCAGGTGTGTGTGCTTTTACTGGACATGCTTTCATCGAGTATGATCCTGATGGGTGGTCAGTGCGATTACTGCCAGCCAACGTAATGATGTGGGGATGAACGTCAGCCTCGTGTGAAACAGCGTTGGATGCTGCCAGATGTCTGCTTGCCCCCATGCAGACCGCCAAGCTGGGCATGATCCCCGTAACCTGCATCCTCGAGGTCTTCTTCGACCCCATGCGCTACTCCCATCCCAGGGCTCACGCCTCTCCCTGTTCCATGCTTTCCGGTCGTCTCAGTGCCCTCCTTCACTTTTCCCCCATGCAGACTGCCAAGCTGGGTATGACCCCCGTCTCCTGCGCCCTCAAATTATTCTTCGACCCCATGCCCTACTCCCATCCCAGGGCCCCTCTGTTCTCCTCAAGCAATTCAATCTATCTCATTCCTTCCCCATCCCCCCCTTTCCAGTCCGCTCAGATCGTCAAGACGGGCATGATTCCCGTCTCCTGCATCCTCGAGGTCTTTGTTAATTACATGCGCTACTCCCAGAGCCTTGCCCCTCTGTGCTCCTCAAGCGATCCAATCCACCCCATTCATTCATCCGCCTTCCCCTTCCCCTTCCCCCCCTCCTCGCCCGCTCCACCCCTCCCTTCTCGTCCCCACACCCTCTTGTTTCGCTCGTTTCCCCCCCAGATCGCCAAGCTGGGTGTGATTCCTGTATCATGCATCCTCAAGGTCTTCTTTTTTCACGTCCTTTACTCCCAAGGCTCACTGCTTTGCCACGTTTGCTCGATTCTCCCCCTCTTTTTCCCTCAGATCGCCAAGCTGGGCATGATCCCGGTCTCCTGTGTCCTCGAGGTCTTCTTTGATCGCATGCGCTACTCCCAGGGCTCGCGCCTCTCTGTGCTGCTGGTGCTCATAGGCGTGGCCACGTGCACCATCGCTGACAGCAGCCTCAGCGCCAGGGGCATGGTGGCAGCTGCCGTGGCTGTCTGCTCCACGGCCCTGCAGCAATACGTGAGTGGCTCCCGTCTAGTTCAGTCTAGAACGAACAGGCCTTGGTGTCTAGATCAGCTGTTGTGCCTCCTTCCCAGGGCTCGCGCCTCTCTGTGCTGCTGGTGCTCATAGGCGTGGCCACGTGCACCATCGCCAACAGCGGCCTCAGGGTGAAGGGCATGCTGGCAGCGGCCGTTGCTGTCTGCTCGACTGCTCTGCAGCAATACGTGAGTGCACTGGTGTAGTGCAGGTCCTAGGGCAGCTGTTGCGTGAGTCGTCTCAAAAGTCAATGCGTGAGTGCTCTGGTGTGGAAGAAGTACCGCCTGGGCCCACCCACACTGCTTCACCTTCCCTTCTGCATTTCCATTGATCTCCTCCTATATGCCCCTTCCGACCCTGCCCCATCGCTCTTCACCCCTCACACTCCCCTCCACAGTACGTGCAATACCTGCAGAAGAAGTATCGCCTGGGCTCCTTTAACCTGCTTTCCCACACAGCTTCTCACCATCCCTTGCCGTTCCGCATTTCTACTCATCTCCTCCAATATGCCGTTTCCCGCCTTTACCACCCCTCTCCACTCCACTCCCCTCCACCCCTCTCAACTCCTCCACAGTACGTGCAATACCTGCAGAAGAAGTACCGTCTGGGCTCCTTCGACCTGCTCTCCCACACAGCACCCGTGCAAGCCGGCTCGCTCGTGCTGCTGGGCCCTCTAATAGACTGGCTGTTGTCGGGTGCCCGGGTTGACAGCTACGACTTCAGTGTTCCCTCGGTGGTGAGTGCCTTCTGTGGTGTGTGCATGGTCTTATATCGGTTCACAAGCACCCGTGCAAGCCTGCTCGCTCGTGCTGCTGGGCCCTCTTATTGACTGGCTGCTATCGGGTGCTCGGGTTGACAGCTATGACTTCAGCGTTCCTTCGGTGGTGAGTGAATTGTCCTAGATTCTGCATGGTATCGTCTCGTACAGAGACATCTCAGCACCCGTGCAAGCCGGCTCGCTCGTGCTGCTGGGCCCTCTTATTGACTGGCTGCTGTCGGGTGCCCGGGTCGACAGTTATGACTTCAGTGTTCCCTCGGTGGTGAGTGCCTTCTGTGGTGTGTGCATGGTCTTATATCGGTTCACAAGCACCCGTGCAAGCCGGCTCGCTCGTGCTGCTGGGCCCTCTTATTGACTGGCTGTTGTCGGGTGCCCGGGTTGACAGCTACGACTTCAGTGTTCCCTCGGTGGTGAGTGCCTTCTGTGGTGTGTGCATGGTCTTATATCGGTTCACAAGCACCCGTGCAAGCCTGCTCGCTCGTGCTGCTGGGCCCTCTTATTGACTGGCTGCTATCGGGTGCTCGGGTTGACAGCTATGACTTCAGCGTTCCTTCGGTGGTGAGTGAATTGTCCTAGATTCTGCATGGTATCGTCTCGTACAGAGACATCTCAGCACCCGTGCAAGCCGGCTCGCTCGTGCTGCTGGGCCCTCTTATTGACTGGCTGCTGTCGGGTGCCCGGGTCGACAGTTATGACTTCAGTGTTCCCTCGGTGGTGAGTGCCTTCTGTGGTGTGTGCATGGTCTTATATCGGTTCACAAGCACCCGTGCAAGCCGGCTCGCTCGTGCTGCTGGGCCCTCTAATAGACTGGCTGTTGTCGGGTGCCCGGGTTGACAGCTACGACTTCAGTGTTCCCTCGGTGGTGAGTGCCTTCTGTGGTGTGTGCATGGTCTTATATCGGTTCACAAGCACCCGTGCAAGCCTGCTCGCTCGTGCTGCTGGGCCGTCTTATTGACTGGCTGCTATCGGGTGCTCGGGTTGACAGCTATGACTTCAGCGTTCCTTCGGTGGTGAGTGAATTGTCCTAGATTCTGCATGGTATCGTCTCGTACAGAGACATCTCAGCACTCGTGCAAGCCGGCTCGCTCGTGCTGCTGGGCCCTCTTATTGACTGGCTGCTGTCGGGTGCCCGGGTCGACAGTTATGACTTCAGTGTTCCCTCGGTGGTGAGTGCCTTCTGTGGTGTGTGCATGGTCTTATATCGGTTCACAAGCACCCGTGCAAGCCGGCTCGCTCGTGCTGCTGGGCCCTCTTATTGACTGGCTGTTGTCGGGTGCCCGGGTTGACAGCTACGACTTCAGTGTTCCCTCGGTGGTGAGTGCCTTCTGTGGTGTGTGCATGGTCTTATATCGGTTCACAAGCACCCGTGCAAGCCTGCTCGCTCGTGCTGCTGGGCCCTCTTATTGACTGGCTGCTGTCGGGTGCCCGGGTTGACAGCTACGACTTCAGTGTTCCCTCGGTGGTGAGTGCCTTCTGTGGTGTGTGCATGGTCTTTTATCAGTTCACTAGCACCCGTGCAAGCTGGCTGGCTCGTGCTTCTGGGCCCGCTCATTGACTGGCTGCTCCCTGGCGTGCGTGTGGACAGCTACGACTTCAGTGCCACGTGTCCAGAGCTCACTGGCAGTCTGCCAACCAACGCGACTCACTTCATGTTTCTCTGCCTTTCCCTCCTTTCCCTCCTTTTCCGACTTGCTAATACTTCACCAGTCTCCTGTTCCTCATAGCAGTGCTTATCAGCGCCATTCAGTTCAATGAGGGCTGGTAGGAGCTCTCAGCTTCCATTCCCAATCACTTCCCAGCCTCCACCTCTGCATTGAGCTGTTGTGCCTCATAGCAGTGGCAGTCAATACGACTCTCTACTCATCCTCCTTACTACTCCCATCCCCCATTCCTCCACCCTCCCCCGCCCCCACCAGCTGTGCATCAGATCAGCCTCTCATGCCTGATAGCCGTGGTTGTCAACGCCAGTCAGTTCATCTTCCTCCACCACTCTTACTCCCATCCTCACTCCCATTCACCTATCCCTTTTCCCCTTCCTCCACCAGCTGTGCATCGGCCTGTCATGCCTGATAGCCGTGGCGGTCAACGCAAGTCAGTTCATCTGCATCGGTCGCTTCACAGCCCTCACCTTCCAGGGCCTGGGCCACATGAAAACGCTCTCTGTGCTCGTGCTTGGATACGCTCTCTTTGGGCTGGACGGACTCAATGCACCAGTAAGTGGGTGTACATTGCATGCCATGCTGTAGTTCAGATGGACATGCGTGAGGTGAGGGCATGGGCCACATAAAGACTCTCTCCGTGCTCGTGCTTGGATATGCACTCGTTGGGTTGGATGGACTCAACGCAGCGGTGAGCGCCTGTATGGTGAGACGATGAGGTTTAGAGGGAAGGGGATTCACAGCCCTCACCTTCCATGGAATTCGAAAAAAACCGAGCCACTTGAAGATTCTCTCCGTGCTCGGATCAGTTTGGCATGTCATGCCGTGAGAGCAAGGACGATGTTTAGCGAGAGTCGCTTGAGGCGCCTTCCAGCGCTGCGGCCACGTGAAAACGCTCTCCGTGCTCCTCCTTGGATACGGTCTTCTGGCGTTGGGTGTGCTCAGCTTGCCGTCTCGAAATTGCATGTGTGCCATGCCATGCCAGTCCTGCCATGCCATTCCTGCCATGCCAGTCCTGCCATGCCATTCCTGCCATGCCAGTCCTGCCATGCCAGTCCTGCCATGCCAGTCCTGCCATGCCAGTCCTGCCATGCCATTCCTGCCATGCCATTCCTGCCATCCCATACCAGTGGCATCAGAGAAATAGAGAATCTCTGTGTTTGTGCCTCCCACTTCTACCCCCCCTCTCCCACATGATGCCATGCCAACCCAACTTCCACACACCCACGCCTACGCACTACCATTGACCCCTATCCTCACTTAGGTCCTGATGGGGATGCTACTTTCCATCATGGGAATGGTGTGGTACGGCAATGCATCGTCGAGACCAGGAGGCAAAGAGAAGGTGCCAGTGGCTCCTACTCTTCCAACCACCACCGAGGCGGATGAAAGCGCGCTGCTAAAAAGTGAACCGCGGGAAGCTCCTGTGGTGCCAGCACTTGAAAAGCAGGCCAGTGACAGTGGATAAGCGACAACCGGAAGATGATATTGTATCTTACTCTCTCACATCAGATGGGCATGCATGAATAAGGATATAAAATATTTATATACTTGGGCTAGGCCTTGCTCATATTATTTTGTGCAATGCTGGTAAAGAATATATTCCGAACCACATATCTCGAGAGATTGTGCTCACCTGTTCCCCAAACCGTGTATGTGAGCAGAATGAGGACGGCAGTACGTATACAAAGCACTTTGCGTATCATTTTCGTGTCAGCGTTGTATCGCTAGCCATGTCCCGCTTGACCATGACAAATGTCATTAACATCATGTACGATGAAACTATTTGAGACGAATCCGTTTTGAGGCAAGTTTTTCTTGTGTAAAGACTAACTGAAACTGGGTCGTATTGGTTTCCCCGCCCACTTCCTACAGATGCGCAAACCAGCAAGCAGCAAATGTTGGTTTGAGGAAGACCTTGATGCTGACCTGACACTTGAATCCATGGCGGTGGGAGTTGTCTGAGTGAGAAGCGCCAACGACGACAGATAGTGACAGTACCCTTTTAGAATATGATTGTGTGCGTAGGATACACCTTCCTCTCACCCACCACATCCCGAATCTAGTCCAGATTCACGAGACAGGACCTGGTGAGATCAGCCCGAGGAGACTTCCGATTCGACTAATTAGTAAATTCGCCTGACAGCACGACTTAGATCAGCCAGAGTACTGACTGTGCTGTCCTGAGCCAGCAGAGGCTGATTCTGACAATCAGTCCACGCACCCTCCCCCTCGTTTACACCGTCGCCGTGAATGCATAAGTCGGCCATAGTCGCAGGCAGGAACGCTTCTTGAAACGTTTCACTGCTGTGGTCAGCATCACAACTGTACCATACCTTCCCAGTCTCATAGTTCCCTCGGCATTAGAACCGCCGGTTCGCCTATCTCCACACTTCGAATCCGTCGGCCATGTCGCTCGACGATGGACCCGATGGCCCTCTCGAGCACACTCTCCTCGTCGTTCGCGAAGTCTCCGTCTACAAAATACCTCCGCGACAGTCGTCAGGTGGTTACAAATGCGCGGAGTGGCTCGTCGGCGACAAGATTTGGGGTGGACGCCTCCGCGTAGTTTCCGTTGGCGACACGTGTGAAATTCGCCTGGAGGACAGTAACACTGGCGATCTTTTTGCCGCATGCCACGTGGCGCCTGGTCGACGCGACGCGTCGGTCGAAGCGGCGACGGACAGCTCGCGATACTTCGTGCTTAAGATCGACGACGGTCGCGGCCGTCACGCGTTCATCGGGCTCGGATTCGCGGAGAGAAACGCAGCTTTCGACTTCAATGTCGCTCTGACGGATCATGAGAAACATGTTCTAAATGAGAGGCAAAGAGCCTCGGATGTGGCGTCGGGGGAAGCGGATTCTGCGCTAGAAGATTCTCAGCCGAAACTGGACCTAAAATTGAAGGTAATCCGTTATACTATACTCATGTATTGCATATGCCTCCATTGTAAGAGACATTGTTAGTCCTGCATCTAGCTGCTGAAATTGTTCTGAAAAACGTTTCATATTTTCACGTTTCCATTTTTTTTGGCTCATTCTTATTATATTTCCTTTCCGATGTGCAGGAAGGCGAAACCATCCGCATCAGCATGAAGAAACCATCATCGTCGACATCATCATCATCATCTTCCTCCTCTCGCTCTTCCTCCACCTCATCTTCATCAGGCCGGGTAGCCATTCTTGCTCCCCCTCCCGGCAGCAAAAGCAGCAGCAGCAGCAGCAGTGGCATAGCTCGCCTTGCTCCTCCTGCTGGCTCCTCATCTCGAACCTCGGTCTCGGGAGGTTCTTCAAGCACAGCAGCAGCTGCAGCAGCGGGATTAGCAGCACCAGCAGGCGCAGCAGCAGCAAGAGGAGGGGGAAACCCGTCTGCATCAGGTGTATCAGGGGGGGGAGGTCAATCAGGAGCATTTGCCGACTTCTCCCAACTTCAGGTACGTGCGTGGCTGTAATTGTTTAAAAAACTCCAAATCCAGGGTAGACACTCTTGGCAATGGTAGTGCTAGTTCCTTTCACTCATAAATCAGGCCAGATTCGAAACTCTTGCTTCTTTGTTGAATTCTTTAAATTTCACTCTCATCCCACACGAGTGGAAACTTTGACCAACTGCCGTGCGTCCTTCTTGCTTGCTTGGCTGTTCCATCCTGGCCTGTACCGTGCTCTCTGTCTCAGTCATCCCTCCCACCAGCAACTCAGCCTGCTCCATCCAACCCACCCTCAAGCACCAACGCCCCTGCAGCTGCAGGCTGGGCCACCTTTTAACACCAACGAGGGTCTATTATCACAAATTCCCCTGAGACCTGGGCCACTCATTTCAAGCAGCCCTGCCAGCCCAAAAGGCTTGTATCTATGGACCACAGATCATCCATACGAGTTCTTCCACCAATTATTGTCGGTGTACAGTACACAATGGATCTTATTTTCCAATTTTGGTCAGGTACAGTACCGTATGTCTGACTGGTAGGTGCTCAGCAGGGATTGCTTTGTGTTGCTAGCATACCGTGGCTTGTTTTATTTATGCCTTTTTACAGACCATAGCCAGGAATGGGACATTGAGGGTGCAAATCAGGTCCTTCCGTCTGCGCTCCCATGTTTTATGCTCTTCTACGAAAATGCCACAGCCAAAGCATGTACTTCCATGTGTGACTGTCTATCTTGTGCTATGAGCGATGGGACAGTCACACCTCCCTGGAAATTACACATGACCCTTTCTGATGTGGTGCCAGACTGTGCGCAATAAGGCAGGGTACCGTACTAGTACTATGGTAAGTAATCTGTATCGCCAAGTTACACTATATTATCTACCCCATAAATACAGCGCCTATATTCTCAAGCCACATAAATACAAAATGAGTCTCTAGTCTCTACCGTCGTCGCCCGGATATAAGACAGTGTCGAATTGAAGACATGGGGTGTCGTTAAAACGGGTGTTTCTTATAGATGGGTGTTCCTGATTATAAGACAACTGTCGGTGTGTACAAGTTAAGCTAGTATAGGGATTAGGGGCAATCTTATGAGTAGGGGGTATCTTCTAAACGGTTTTTTGTCCATTTATAAGAGTTATAAGACACCCTAAACCGTCCCAATTACAAGACACAGCAAGCTTTTTTTCTAATGTATAAGATAAGACATATATGTCTTCTATCCGGGCGATGACGGTAGTCTCTTGTACACTATCACATGTCCTTCCAAATGTGATAGTCCGTGTCGGGATGGGCGGGGTCCCACTCCGTATCCGCACATGCGGACAAAATCAGTGTACGGCCTTGCTTGTCCACATTCTCCAGCGCGTGCGCCCTGCCAGCTGGCCCTGTGAAGACCGCCACGTCAGCAGCATCCAGCATCACCTCGGCATAGCCAGCTGGCAGCGAAGGATTCTCGATCTGCAGTGGGGGAGAGGGCGGGGAGGTGGGCGGGGGAGGAGGGGTGGGGTGTGGAGGGGGAGTCAGGGAAAAGTTCACCTCTGCATAGCTGGCCGGCAGGGATGGAGGAGAGATGGAAGGAAAAGGAGTAATGGAGTTGAGAAGGAAAGGGACAAGGAGAATGAGGTATACCGTATGGCAGAAAACAGTATCCTATTATATTTGGGCGGGGAAGGGGGGTGAGAGAGAGAGAATAGCAACGAGATAGTCTGTTCTGGCAGTTTTGAAGAAAGTATACATGCGCACTTATCCTTGCGTCTAATATTGGGGCGCCAAAGATACCCCAGCATATAATAATCCTCACCCCAAATGAGGACGACTCGCTCTTGGTGTGGTGGCGGTGCATATCCAAAGCATACCATGTGCTCCTGTTCCGTTAATACTATAACTAACATAAACACACATCGCAACATGTAACTCAGGCTTTGAAGAGACCACATACTCACCCGGATTCGAGCGTCTGCCCCCCAGATGAGAAAAGACTCGCTCTTAGTGTGGTGGCGGTGGTTTCCTCGCACCTTCCCCGGGCCTATCGTGCCGACATGCACGTCCACACATGACTTGGCACCTGATGGCGTGGGATGAGGTGGGGTGGGATGGAGTGCGATGGATGATCTAGGGATGTGCGAGATGGCATAGAGTGGCATGGGGGTAAGGGCTGACATGCAACACATGACTTGGCACCTGATGGGAAGTGTGGGATGGGGTGCGATGGAATGGGATGGGATGGGATGGGTTGCGGTGGTGTAGGGTGGAATGGCATGAGATGGGGATGGGTGGGTTGGCATAGTGGTATCGTGCCCACATGCACGCCAACACATGGGATGGTGGAATAGGGTGGGATGGGATGAAATGGTATTGCATGGCATGGAAGTGGATGGGATGGAATGGCGTAGGATGAGTGAAACGCAAGTGCATTCTCAAATAACGGAAAGATATCATGTGGTGACTTTTGAGTCGACTCAGAAATCACCTCAAAACGCAAGTGCATTCTCTAATAACGGAAATTAATTATGTGGAAAAAAGCCTGCAAGGCTTGGAAACACGGCCCCACAACCCACCTCCCTCCCCCCCCCCCCCTCCCCTCCCTTCCCACCCTTACATTCTACCCATCCCTCTCAGTCCCCCACATTTCCACTCCCCCTCTCCCACAACTCACCCCCCAGCCCATGCTGCGCGGGGGCGGGCATGGGAGAGAGAATCCACCCGCGCACATCGCTCCCCACCCCAATCCCTTTATCCACTTCGCTCCCCCGACCACCTTTACCCTCCTCATACACCCCAGTCCCCCTTCCCCCTCCCGCCCCTTTCCTCAGAACTCACCCCCCGGCCCATGCTGCGCGGGGGGCGGGCATGGGGGAGAGGATCCATCCGCGGATTCTTCCCCGACCCCCCTTAGCTTCAAACCCCCCCCCCCCCCCCCCCCCCCCCTTTTCCCCCTTCCGCCCCACGCCCCTCACTCACCCCCCAGCCCGTGCGCCGCGGCCATGTGCATGGGGGAGAGGATCCATCCGCGCACGTCGCTCCCCGGCATCCCCCCCGCCAGTCTATTCAGCCGCACCAGATTCGCTTCCTCCTTCTCCCGCCGCATCTCCGCCTCCCGCGCCTCCCCCATTCCGCCTCCCCCCGTTCCGCTTTCCCCCGCGTCTTCCCCGCCCGGCTGTTGAATCAAATCGGACGGCTCGCGGCTCGTGGCATTTGTCGTGGTGTAGACTAGGCATAGGGTGAGGATTAAGAGGACGCAGAGCGCTTGCGCCGCGACGCGGCCATTGTTTCCGAAGAATGCGGAAGGTAGAGAGCTGGGCGCGGCGGAAAAGGCTCCGCGCGGGTGGTGCGAGGCGGACGGCATTGCGCGATGTGCGCAGCGAAATGCGGCTTTGGCAAAATGCAGGCGCAACGCAGCCGAAGAATTGGGAATAATGTGGCGAAACACTCGTACGAGAAATGTACTGATGACAGAGAGGTAAGGTGAGAAGGCCGCGGTGAAAGTGGAAAACTACCCTCGGCGAGTTTCGCAAGCGCAGGTGGCACGTTGGGCGGGAATCGTGGTGGAGAAGAGGAAAGAACTGAGGGCAGAATGCGAACAGTAAGGAATTTCACAACCTGATTGTACTAGGTCGAGTAGATGTTTTCACGTTTAGAAATGGCTAGTGCGAAGTATTTGACGGTGAGGTACGGTGGAAAAACCAATCTGGACATCCCAACAACCAGCAAGAATGAGGGGCGTGATTAGGTAGGCGAATTGCGAAAAATGGCGTGCTTGGTCTCCAGCATCTGTTACGAATAGGTATGATGCGCAATTAGATCATTACAATATCCAAAAATGCAATTTGCATGAGACATTAGTTAGCGTGTTGCGGAAAAATTATGCATGAAAAGCAAATAAAATTGCAGATGGGTTAGCAGAAAAGTATCACATATCACGCTGGTTCCTATGGCAACGTGACTAATACCCTCAGCTTTGAAATCTGCCTGATTGTCAACTTCAAGTCCGCTTCTGAAAGAATGACATGATGCTTCCTTGCCCCTTCTTAGGACCCCCTTTTCCAGCAGCCTTCCCACCACCCTTTGACGCCCCTTTCCCTGCCCCTGCAGCAGCTGCTCCCTTCCCCTGCCCACCTCCTTTCTCTGCTCCCTTCCCTTGTCCCCCTCCTCTCTCTGCTCCCTTCCCCTGCCCTTTTCCTCCTTTCGTGCTCGCTGCAGAAGCCTTGGCTGAGTGTCTGCTATGGGATAGCGGAAGATAGACACAAGAACCCCATCAAGACACATACAATGGCACTTCAGCAGAGACATTGACCTTGAATAGCACTTCAGGAAGGAAAATATCCAGTCATGACACATATACACAGGATCGATATGATATGATATGATATGATACGATACGATACGATACGATACGATACGATACAATATGATATGATATGATATGGTACAAAAGGTAGAGCTGAGGCAAACTGATACGGTAAATTGATAGGAAGACAGAGAGGCTGGCCGAGAGGCAGACGCGAGAAGGATGAGGGGGAAGAGGAAGGAGCAGCTGAGGGTCGTAAAAGGGGAGAGCATTGGATGATAAATGGAGGGCTTCGAGGAGCGTCAGACGAGGAAGGGAGGCGAGTTTGACGATTCTTAACCAGGCGATACCTTGAGCTCTGCTTCGGCCATGGGATGACAGATGGAGGGCTCCTCTGGTGTGCTGCAAGGCTCCCCTCCCCCCATTCCCCCATCCCTATTGACATAACCTTCCCCTCTCCCTTCACCTGCATCGCTATTCTCAACAGCACCTTGAATGGACAGACCAGGCCAGACTAGACCAGGCCAGACCAGACCAGACCAGACCAGACCAGACCGGACCATAGCGGACTGGACCGGACTGGACCGGACCGGACCGGACCAGACCAGACCGGACCAGACCAGACTAGTTGCCATACCTGGTGCTCTGCTTCAGCACAGGCTCCTCTGGTGTGTTGCAAGGCTCCCCTGCACCTATCGCCCCATCCCTATCAATGTCGCCTTCCCCGTTCCCTCCCCCCTCCCCTGCATTGCCGGCATCTGCTGCCACTTCGTTCCCAAACTCGTCCACCTGCACCTGCCGTGTGACTGCAGCAGACGTGATAGAAACGAGAGGGATGGAGTGCTGAGTAGCGGGCAAGCAACGCAGTATACCACATGCCTGCATCCCTCCCCCCTCCCCTGGTTATCGATTTACCGCTTCATAACAGAGAATATAACAGCAACGAGAGTGATACCGGGCTGATGATTGGGCAAGGCAGCACAAAAAACAAATGCAGCTTACCGTCCCTCACCTTCCCTCCCTCCCTTACCCCCCCTTACCTTCCCTTACCCTCACTTGCATCCTGTAACCCTTCCTTACCTTCCCATACCTTCCCATACCTTCTCTTACCTTCCTTATCCTGACTATCATCAGGCAATCCCTCACCTTCCCTGCCTCTGTCATCAATATCAGTCTTCCACACCATCCGTCTCTCCCCACCTCCTCCCCTCCCCTTCATCCCGCCAGCCGCTTTCGGAGTAAGCCTCACTGCACACTCCACCACTGCCATCATCTCCTCCTCTTTAACCTCTTTCTCCTCTTGCTTTTCCTTTTCCTCCCTTTCCCCCCCATCCCCCTCCTCCACCTCCTGCTCCTCCTTCTTTCTTTTCTGAGATCCACCTTGCCTTCGCTGCCTTTTTTGCTCCTGATCTTTTTCATCACTTCCTTGCCGCCCTTTCTTCATCAGCCGAATCGATTCCGCACCAAAAGCTCCTCCCTCTGCTGCTTCATGCTCTCGCTTCACCTTCACTCCCTTCTCTTCCTTCCCCTCCTCAGACGCCATCCCTCTTTTGAGCCCGTCCTGTTGCCCCCCACCAGCCTCACTTAACAATGCAGCCTGCTCCGGTTCTTCCCCTACCCCTCCTCCTCCCTTCCCTTCCTCGTCTCTCTCTTCCGACTCCTTTTGATCCCTCTCCTCATCTCCTCTCCGCCCCTGTTTCATCAGCCTAATATCCTCAGCTCCAAAGTCTGCTCCCTCTTCCTCTCCCTGCTCAATCTTAACCTTCTTCCCACTCTCCCCCTTCCCGTCCTCCTGGTTCTTCCCACTGTTGTTCAAGCTTGTACCCTTCCCATCCTTGCCCATCTCAATCGGAGCACCCTCCTCTTTCCCTCTCTTCCGCCCTCCGCTTCTCAGTTCCTTGTCACTACGCTCATCATCTCTCTCCTTGTCACTACGCTCATCATCTCTCTCCTTGTCACTACGCCCTTCATCTCGCTCCTCATCTCGCTCCTCATCTCGCGCATCACCCAACCTGCCTCCCTGCTTCTCATCCTCCTCAACTCTTCCCTCTTTCGCCTCATCTTTAACACGCGCTTCTCCCTCCCCTCCCTCCCCTCCCTCTCCCTCCGTCCCCTCCCTCGCAGCATCAGCAGCACCAGCAATGCCATCCCCTCCAACACAGCTTCCATCCACCCCAGCAGCCCCCTCACTCGTCCTCTGCGGCTTCACATCCTTTTCCAACTTCTCTACATCCCCCTGTCCTTTATCTATGTGTCCAACACCCACTGCCTCTGCTTCCTCTTTTTCCATCTTCACCTCATTCCCCTCCTTCCTGATCTCTTCTCTCCCTCCCTCTTCCTCCACCTCCTCGTCCTCCTCATCCTCCACTGCAAATCGCCGCTTCTTCTTTGCACCCAGCCTTCCCAACCGCCCACCTGCCCCTCTTGAGAACCCCACTCCCTCTTCCTCCTCCTCCTCCTCCTCCTCCTCCTCATCACCACCACCACCACCACCGCCACCACGACGACCACCACCACCATCGCCATCAACAGCCATACCAGCACCAAGGACAGCATTACCATTAACATCAGCTGCTTTAGCTTCTCGAGCCTTTTCAGCTCCTTCTCCCTTCACTTCGCCCTGGGGTTTTGATTTCTTCCACATGCCCATGAGAGTATTCTTCTTCCCCTTGTCAGCAACACCAACCCCACCAGAAGCACCGCCAGCACTAGAATGCTTGGCCCCTTTATCCTCTCGCTTGCTGGCAGCTGCAGCAGGAGCAGTGGTAGTAGCAGCAGCAGCAGCAGGAACAGCAGCAGCAGGAGGTGGAGGAGGCACAGCTGACCCCTCCCCACTGCCCTTCAATCTCTTTGCATCTAGCTGGCCCGCATTTCCTGACTCGCCTAGCGCCGCAGCCCCTAGCAGGCCTGGCTTCACTGCCCCCACGGGTTCTGCGTGCTTCGCTTGCCCCCCTTGTTGCACCGGCGGCTGCTTGCTTCCTTCCCTCTCCTGCTTGATTCCCGATTGAATCGCCTCTGCTTTCGGATGCTGCCCGTGTTGATCTTTCTTAGCAGCACCAGCAGCAGCAGCAGCAGCAGCAGCAGCAGCAGCAGCAGCAGCAGGGGGAGGAGCAGCAGCAGCAGGGGGAGCAGCAGCAGCAGGAGAGCGGGAGGGCACGGAGGAGGCAGCAGTGATGTGTGCGGACGGGTGGGGCCGCTTGGAAAGCGTTTCCAGGCAGATTGGTGGGGGCTGGACAGCACTCAGGCTGCGGGGAGGAGAGGGAGAGAACACAGACGGTGGGGGAAAAACAGGGGAGGCAGCAGTGGTGTGTGCGGACGGGTAGGGCCGCTTGGACAGGATTTCCAGGCAGATTGGTGGGGGCTGGACAGCACTCAGGCTGCGAAGAAGGAGAATTAAGAAAAGGAGGGGACGGGAGGGGAACACATATGGTACGGGGAAAAGGGTATGCAGCAGTATGTATGGGGCGGGAGGGGCCGTCTAGGAAGGATGGATGGATGGGGGCTGGACGGCACACACACCTGCTCACACACCTGCTCACACACCTGCTCACACACCTGCTCACACCTGCTCACACACCAACTCTCACACCTGCTCACATATGAGTGCTTCAGTCACAGACTCACACTCGCACACAAACCTGCTCTCTCTTACACCATTACCCATGGCCCCATCGGCGGCACAGAGAACAGCCAGGTCGCGCGGTAACCGCCGCTGCACACTGTAGATGTGGGCCGAGGCTCCCCCCATTGTCACAACTCGCACACACACACCTGCTCTCTCTTGCACCGTAGCCCACGGCCCCATCGGCAGCACAGAGAACAGCCAGGTCGCGCGGTAACCGCCGCTGCACACTGTAGATGTGGGCCGAGGCTCCCCCCATTGCCTCCTGTGCTTCTGCGCAAATTTCACGGGCAGGTGGGGCAGGGGAAAGAGTGCCGGAATCAGGAAGGTTGTCTTTGAACCATCTCCTCTACCTGCTTGGTCACATGGAACATGGAACACAGCTTAGATGAAAAAGAAGGATGTTTTTCTTCTGCCATACGAAACAACAAGGGGAGAAGAGGGCAGCGATAACCCGTGGGCCGTGAGGCGCGCAGAAGTACGGAAGTCCTTGTGGCGATTTTTTCTGAAATAACTGCTTGAGTTTAGAAAATCTCAAGCCAGCAAGAAAAGGACAGGGATTACCGGCGAGGTGAGCGGAGGGCACCAGTCGCATGCGGAATTCCTTCACCATTGCTGCTTCCGCTCCTGCGCCTCTCGCTGTCGCTCCCCCTGCAGCTCCTGCTGCCGTTGATGCTGCTGCTGCTGCTGCCGTTGCTGCTGCTGCTGCTTTCACCCCATCCCCGTTACAAACCCAGCCCGACACCACCCATACAGCAGTCACCTCCTCCTTGTGCTGCTCCCAGTAACCCTGTAACACACTGCGTGGGCGAAGAGGACCAGCACAGGGTGACCAACAAGGGTAACCACAAATGGTAACCAGCACATGGTAACCAGCACAAGGTAACCAACACAAGGTAACCAGCACAAGGTAACCAACACAGAGGTGGGGGACGAGCACAAGGAAAGCACAAGGAGAGGAGGTGGCGGAAAAGGGTGTGGAGGCGGGGAGAATGGCGGAAAGGAGGTGGCGGAGGGGAGAGTGGGGGTGGGGAGTTATGGAAAGAGAGAGAACGGCGGAAGGGGAGAAACGGGCAGTAAGGAGCTAGGCCGCACCTTTTTGCTTGGCGCAGAGGCAGGGAGAGGGAGCGAGAGAGGAACTTCGCGGTGACCTGGGAGGAAAGGGAAGATGAATCGATGGAATCCGTGGCTTGGAGAAATGAATCGCCTCAAAAGCAGAAACGTGGATGATAAATTGGACGGCACGGAGCGCGTACGAACGTAACTACGTACGTACGCCTCCGGTTCATTGCCTGCAAAAGAGTGCGAATGGAAGGCTTGGAGGAGTTTCAACCTGTAACACCAGGTACACTCAGAGAACCTATAAAAAATGTGAGACGCGTCAGAATAGGCGAAGAAACGGATTGATTCGGACTAGTCCTGATAACTCAGATAGTCGGGGTAACGAACAAATGTTGTGCTTGCTCGAGCCCAAGATTGATGCATTTAGAAGACCACTTTAATCACATCCCTCTCCTTCTCGGTTGCCATTTGAAAGTGATGAATTCTAATCTAGCTATTGGACTCACCACTCGCTCCTGATCCTTCACCATCGCATCGATGTCATCCAAAACGCCTGGATCCATCGCAGCGAGCTCGGCGGGGGCCGCCATTCAATATTTCAATAGACCGTACTAACACAGCGAAGCATGCAGAGCGAAGCAAAGCGCACACTTTCGCAGCATGCTGGAAACGGCCAGAATGATAGCCATTTTAGGCTGAAAAACTCGTGGATTTTACCTCTGAGGCCAGGCGGGGAAAATTTCAAAAAACACAAATCAGTACCCTTTCTCCGATACTATTTTGACCGGCAGCTTTTGTACAGCAACATTGTTCCTTTAATAATGATTGGTTTGTCTGTTAAAAGCAGTGCAATCTTCAGAAATTAATGATATCATATCCATAAAGCTTTCTGGATGTTGCTACTCCTTGGGTGCAAATCCAGGAAGGGCTGTCAAGTACCGTATAGATGGTACCTGGACACATTAGAAGAGCGATATTATCATAGTATTATGGTGTCGAGACTAAGGCAAGGATGTTTTGACTAAGATGAGAATGATACAAGAAGGAAAACCCTAAGGGATTGTACTCTACAGTGTGCAGCCCACTACAGCCTACCCAAATCTAAAACATAGATATATGTTTGACACACCCCCATAGGGAAAGTGGGGGAGAACATAGGGTCACAAGACCAGTCAGGAAATGCAAAGCAAGCTCAGGTTGGATCACAACGTCACCACGCAGTCTGAGCACAAGCAAAAAGGCCACAAGGCCAAGTCACATGCAGAGATATATATGAAACAACAACAGCGCAGTGATCTCTACATACGAGAGCAAGCAGGGAGGTATATATATAAATCACAGTACAAGTAAAGCCTACAGCAAGTAGGGAAGTATGGGCACAAGGCCTAACAAAGTACAGAAACGCTGATGATCACCAGGCGGAAGTGCCTTGGTGAATATATCAGCAGTGTTCGCCCGAGTGGCCACGTAAGCAAGACGAAGTTGGCCACTATTAGAAACAAGCAACAGGCATGGATGAACTATGAAAGGGTTGGGTACAAGTATGAAACCCTAAAAGGGGCTGTACCCCATATTGGCTACCCCACTACAGCCTAAACTTATATAGCATATATATACTTTGACACACCCCCATAGGCAAAGTGGGGGAGAGCAAGGGGTCACAAGACCAGTCAAGAGAAGTAAAGCAAGCTTAGGGTGGATCACAACGTCACCACAAACACTGAGCACAAGCAAAGGGCCACAAGGCCAGTTCACATGCAGAGGGATATATGCAACAACAGCAGTACAGTGATCTCTACCTAGCAGAACAAGCATGTAGGTTATATACATATATATATATATATATCACAGTACAAGCAAAGTCTACAGCAAGTGAGGAAAAGTGGGCACAAGGCCTAACAAAGTGCAGAAACGGTGATGATCACCAGACGGAAGAGTGGCCTTGGTGAATATATCAGCAGTGTTGGCCCGAGTGGCCACGTGAGCAAGACGAAGCTGACCATGCTGCTGCAACTCTCGAGCCAAGAAGTAACGCAGAGCGATGTGCTTCGTTTTGTGCTCCAGTCTGTGCTCCTCACACAAGGCAATGACAACCTTGTTGTCGACGTATAGCACTGGAGGAGAACGAGGCCGCTCTCCCAGGTCCGTCAGCAGGTAGGTAAGCCAGCGTAACTCCTGTGCAGCCATGGCAGAGGCGTAGATCTCAGCCTCACAACTGGAGCTGAGAACTGAAGATGAGCGTGTAGAACGCCAAGAAACTGAACCAGAGCCAAGGCTAAAGGTGTAACCCTGTAACGACCGCTGCGTAGCCTGGTCGTCAACCCAAGAAGCGTCTAAGTGCCCAGTGAGGACAACGTCGCTCCGTCCTCCAAGCACGAGCCCCATGCCTGATGTACTGCACAAGTAGCGTAGTACCCTCTTAGCAGCATCCATGTGCACCTTTCGGTGCCGACTAGGAGCCACGTAGTGAGCCAGAAGGCCAAGAGGGTACGCAAGGTCAGGACGAGTGCAGGTCATCAGGTACATGAGGCAGCCCACTAGTTCTGGGTAAGGACCACTCGGCTCTACGGACTCGTCCGAAGGTGGAGCTCAGAGCGAGTGACGTGTCGCCAGAGGAGTGGCCTGTGCCGAGGACCAGGTGAAGCCGAAGCGCTGAAGGACCTGCTGCACCATGTGTGACTGAGTCAGTGTGATGGTGCGCTGTGCTCTGTCCCGGGTGATCTGCAAGCCAAGGTTGCTGCGCAACTCACCCAGGTCTGTGCACGTGTGTCTCTTCTGCAGCTCCGACTTCACCAGGGCGAGAGCCTTAGTGTCAGGAGTGGCAAAGACCAAGTCGTCGACGTACACGAGGATGTAGAACGGCGGCAGCGAGGTGTCGGTGCGCAGAAACAGGGACGGGTCAGCAGTCGACGGGGCAAACCCAAGAGCCGCAAGAGTCGTCCTCAGTGTGTCAAGCCACTCACGAGGCGCCTGACGGAGACCGTGGACTAGCCGCGGAGGCTCCACTGAGTACCAGAAGGGAACGACCCAGTGAAGCCAGGTGGACGGCGCAGCCAGATCTCCTTGTGCAGGCTGCCCTGTAAGAAAGCTGTGCTGAAGTCAAGAGAGTGAAGCTCGTAGTCACGCTAAACGACAACATGCAGCAACACCCGAAGAGTGGTCATCTTCGGGGTGGGGGAGAAGGTCTGGAAGAAGTCAACTCCCTCTCACTAACTGAAACCTCGTGCAACGTAAAGAGCCTTAAAGAGAGGCGGAGAACCTGGCGGCCGCTTCACCTTGAAAATCCACATGCCACTGACGATGTTTGCCTCAGGAGGGGGAACCTCGTCGACGTAGGTGCCTGTGGACTTCCAGGATGCCATCTCTGCGTCCATGGTTGTCTGCCACTGAGAGGAGTACTCACCCACGATCGCCTCAGCGTAAGAGCGCGGGGTCGGGATGTCTGGTGCATCCGGGTCTCCCTCACGGGCAAGCAGCATGGCCACGAGATGAGGCGCAGCGGCTGCAAGACACTTAAGGTCCTCCTGCCTGTCCTCAAGGACGTCCGTGCCAAGAGCACACTCACCCCCGACGGACGGAGGACAGACAGACTTAGACTCAGCAACAAGACTAGCAGCGTAGTCTAGACGACATGTAGCAGCAAACTCAACAAGCTCAACGACTAAGGCAGACGCAGCAGCAGACTCAAATGACGGGTCGGCGACAACAGCGGCTAGCAGACGCGTTACAGTAGGGTGCTCAGCACGAAACTGGTCAGACGCAGGGTCAGGAACGATAGGTAGAGAGTACGCAGGGGGAGACGGCAGGTGAACACGCGGCGGCGGAGAGGAAGGACGACGGACTACAAGGGAAGGGCCGGGGACAGCCGGCTGAAGCTGACGAGGAACAGGACGACTGGAACGACCAGAACGGACAGGTGAGACAGGACGCGACGCAGACTCACGACGCTCAGCAAGGCCCCTATCTACTCAGCTTAAGGAAAAGGAGCAGGCAGAGGTGAGCCAGGCTGTAACGGAAGACCAGTAGACGACGGGAGGCTAAGAACCTGGCAAAGCACGGAGTTAGGCGGTGGCAGAGATGACAGAGACGGCGGAGCAAAGAACAGGCGCGGCTGTGCAGTGCCACCAGCACCAACAGCTCCAGCACCCTCAGCAGCTCCAGCACCTCCAGCAGCTCCAGCACCCTCAGCAGCTCCAG